CTAAAATGACGAAGTTATGTTGTAATAGGAATTGAGTCAATCATCAATGATTTAAGTATACATAAATAAAACTTTTTTCATAGAATGTATGTATACATAAATCATTGACGATTGACTCAATTTCTATAAGAAGATACTTTCGTCCCTTTAGAAGATTCTACCTGGTGATACTCGAGATTGCGAAGCACAATTTTCATAAAGACCTTAGCTTCACGAGGCATGTTCACAGCTGCAGTTTACATAACAAAACACTCCAGGTAATGTAGCACTCTACAACAAGCTTGCTTGATGTCTCGTGTGACAACCTTTAGGGTTTGTAAACTATATTTTAATCGATTTAGTACTCGATTGCAACTGATTAAACCGCAAAATCAAACTCTTTTAAAACATCAAAAAGGTACTTGGAGAAGCGCAAATGTTGCACATGATTTTAGTATAGGAGAACGGTTTCGCAACATTGTAACAATGCTGAAGGCAAGAGAGTGATTATTCGATCGGATCCTAATTATGTCGTAGAACAAGAACACGGATGAAATCTTATTATTTGTTTTTTTTTTGTGTTTTGATGAAAGCTTCTGGAAGGTTAGACAAAAGTCGTAGGATTTCTTGGATTGTTTCCAAATAGATTATTCAAAGAGGTATTATTTGTATAGGGAATTCTAGAGAATATAGACAAATACATAATTATAAGATTGAAACCTACAACTCAGTTTTGATATGGAGCTGAGGTCCTTTGGAAGAGTGATTCTTGAATTGTGAAGCAATTTTTTTAACATGAAGATCCAGAGAAAACAAGTAGCTTCACACTTCAAGGGCCTGAGAAAGTATGACCATTAGAATAATCTCTCCATCAAAAACAGCAATCAAAGTCGTGTACTTATCTTCACAAGTTGCCACAATTCTGCAACGGAAGCGAGAATAATCTTCCAAATCACTTTTAAGGTTAAACCCGGAAATCAGTTTCAATCATCTCTTTGACATTTCATGCATTCACTTTTAGGGTGAAAATAAAAAAAATATCATTTAGTTATTCAATTTATTACATGTTTAGAATAGCTAAAAGCTTTATTATATCATTCAATATGGCTATATGGCTAATTCATCCTTATTTGAGGTTTCCATTTTTGGGGTTCGTCAATCAGATGATTTGCTATTGCACCTACTTGTTCTCTCCGTGACTTCTTGGGGATTTGTGGTTGAGCTTCAAACTATGCAGTGGTTCGTTCTTCGATTTTTTTCTTGGGAGGAGGTGATCAACCTTTTGTTTGTAGTTGACAGAGGTTGGCTCGATGTGTCCGCGTGGTAAGAGTTGGTGATCCTAGTTGGTGACTTGCGGATTTCAAAGTTTTTTCCTTTAGCTTAATTCGATCAAGTTTTTTCGTTTCTTTGGAGCGGCGTTCCGGTGTTAGTTCTTGTGCTTTCTGCTACTATGGCCCTACTCTCATTCTCGCCAATGTTGTTGTTATCGTGATTTCAGTGTTGAGTGGATCAGCTCGTGTCTCGTCTTTTGGCACATTTCAGTTTCTATTTATTCTTTGGGAATGGTTGTTGGTCTATTTTGGTGTTTTGCATAAGTTTTGAGTTTAGGAATCTTAATTTTTGCCCTCTTATATTGTCTTCAAGGCCGTGCCTACCTTTTAGAAAAAAGGCAACCGCCTAGAGCCCCCTCTTCACATCCATATTTTTAGGGCCCTAAATTTTATATAATTAGTTTAGTTGATAAAAAATACTATGTATTCTTTTTATTTTAGTTTTGTTGTTTAGAAATAATATCCTACAAATTGATTTTGGTTAATGGATTCCATAATAATTTTAGATTTTAATCATTACAAGTTTTCCGTTTATATTTTTTTTCTTAACATATTTGACTTTATTTTTGCATTGTTATATAAACTATTTTGCATTGTTGTATTTCATTTTTGATTTAGTAAACTATTTCGTTTTCTTAAAAGAAAATATGAAACAGATATGTTAGTCACATCAAAACTATCAATTATAACTTTCCGCTATATTGAATATATTTTTAAAAGAAAAATTTTATATTTTATATGATAAATATTATATTGAAATGAAAAAATATATTTTAAAATATCGTCTTGGACCCCCAGAAGGCTAGGTACGACACTGATTGTCTTCATAGAATATGGCCATATCATGACTCTTTTACTCTAAGACTTAGTCTCTGGAGATTCCGTCTTAGTATTCCAAAAATGTATTTTACCTTTGTATTCTTCGAATATATTTTATTGAAATCCAGGTGATATAAAAAACAAATATATGGTATTAATCAATGTATCTAGTTAGCTAATACAGTAAAAAAGAAAAGACTATAAGGCTAAACTCGTAGTATGTATATGTAGTACATATGCATTCTGACCCAAAAAAAGAAAGAAAAACATATTCATGTGACATTTACAAAAATTTTTTTTGCTAAATGGTAAATATTTCATTAAAAATGAATCGGTTTAGGATTACAATCGATATCATAGTCTTATGGAATGGTTCCACGGTAAAAAAAAAGATAAAAAACATGGAAGCATAAGCATATAAGATTTTCAGTCCATAACTCGAACTAAAACACATTTTAAGGAGCAATACGAATTGATGACGATGTTCTTATTCTTCCCAATTTAAATGTTAAAGATGAAGCTTCGAAGCAAAACACACAAGCCAAACTTACCAAGATCCATAACAATAGAAGCTTTCAAGAGAGGCCCGCAAACGAGTCGTCAACGGAGACTACAACACAACCCTCGATCACCAACTCCTCTCGTGTCTAGTGAGAGTGGGTCGTTGCACAATCCATGAGCTAAGACAAGAGCGAAACCTCAAAACCAATATCAGAAATCAGCGCAAACTCACCCTACCAAGCTCCTTCCGAGGCCAGTTAGTCCAGAGCCGAATATAACAATAAAAACTACGCCGAAAATCATTAGTCATACTAACTCCTCTATTGCCCGAACCAAAGCAACAAACCCAAACACTAAGCCTAAAAGACGACCTCTACAAAGCATTTTTGATAAGAAGAGACAAGCAACAACTGGTCATGAGACCAACTATCAGAACCAGATATACCGCAAAGCCGAACAAGGAAACAATACAAGAGCTACCATCGGCAGCAATACCATCACCTAGACTACAAAACCGCACGAACCGGTAGAAACTCTATGGAATCACCAAGACAAAACACCACGCCCAAGACGCCACAGGAGCCACTTACCAGAAGAATTGGTTGTTGTCCATATCCAAGACTAACCAATAACCAACACTTTCATCAGGCCTTATCATCAAGACAATCCACAAAATAGCAACCGAGAAGCATTGCCCTGAAACAAGTGAACAAGGAAAGACCAAGAGACCGAAGTTCCAACAGCGAGAAGAAAGAGTTGAGCCAATCTGAATGGAGCATCAATCTCTATCCTCGCCACTGGAAATCACCAGAGGTCAAACCGAGGAAGACAACAATCGCTCTTCCAAGCGAGGACATATGGACTCTCCTCAAATCAATTCCCGCTGTTCCCGAGCAGAAGAAACCGGCGTAGAAGAAGCCCAAATCACCTGAAGAAGCGAGGCGTGGTGGAAGAACCAAAACTGAGTTTGGAAAATAGGCGAGACACAAAAGTGAAAGAGATGCAAGACGACGATCACAGATGCCGCTCTGATATCGCGCAAGGACATCTCCTTCACCAGAATCGCCAGGGGAGAAAGATCTACAAATAGATCCACACCGATCGAGCTTTATGAGGTGGGATTTAGCTGACCCCGACGGAGAAACTTGTTGTCGACAAGCAAGTGGCCCGACGGGGAGAATCAAATACTCAGGCGCGGCCGTCACACACGGTGGTTCTCCGACCCTCTCACCACGGAGACGAGAGCAAATCTAGAACATCCAGGAGAAATCAATCGCGTAGACAGTATTAGCAAGAAGGGGGAAGGGAGAGCCCTCTCGCGGTTCCGGTCGAAACCGGAAACCGGAGAGACGGAAACGAAAAAGAACGGCGGAGAAATTTAGATTTTGTTATTGGGAGAGAAAGTCGCCGCGCGTGTGTAGATCCGCGCGCTTGACTTGGCGTTTTCAGGATCCAAAACTATTGAATGTGGAGGAATATGGTGACTTGAAGGTGTGAAATCATGGTCCCTCATGGGCTTCTTCTGTACACCGGACGAATTCTAATTGAATACTACTAGTCGACATCATTTTTACACTTTCAATTTCAGTTTGATATTATTCGTATGATCTTATCAACTTTTTTTTTTTTTTTGATCAAAACCGTATCAACTATCAACCTTAATTTATAAGGTTTATTCTGATACGGTCCGGTTTATATATTTTTTTATACAAAAATTCACCTATTCAGATACAATGCCACCACCTTATTAGATATTTTTAGAAATTAAATGAAACCGAGTTAATTAAAAATAAGTAGTAGGATAAAGTCAAATAAAATTAGGTGCGTTTGCGAATCAGTTGATCTCCAATCAGAAATAGGTCAATCGAGTTAAATAAGTACTTGTTGGATAAAACCAAATAAAAATTTGTTGTGATTAGGCAATCAAATTATATCTCCAATCAGTTTAAGGCAGGTGAAGAAAAAAATGACAAGTCACTATATATGAACACATAAATATTCTCCATGTGACGTCTATATCGTGAATGCGACAATATACAGGAACAGTTGAGTCTTAAACCGGGCACAGTGACGAAACCAAATTAGCATCTTCTAAAAGTCAAGTTGGGTTTTCTGGGTCCCACATTGCCAGCATCGTTGGATGTTATCGATCCACGTGGCCAGATCTTAAGAGTTAAAGAATCAGAATCAAATTCACCCAGAACAAAAAAGCTTTCTTCTTCAGCGAGTGTCGTCTCTGTCTCTCTCTCGCCGTCTGTTTGCTTCCTACTCCGGTGAGAAGCTGACTCCGCCGTGTCTGTATCGGTATTTTCGGATTTCGTTTCCTGTTTGGGTAGCTGATTCGCCGTCGATTCTAAAAATCCGGCAGCTATGAGCTCGGTTTTGCAGGTAGAGTGAAAGATTATCTGTTTTTTCTTCTTCTATTGTGATCTTTGTGGAATCTAACCTGTGTTTTACGATTGATGGGTTTTATTAGGGTTTTACCAAGTCACTCGCCATGACTTTTGTGTCTGAGATTGGCGACAAGACGTTTTTCGCTGCCGCTGTAAGTGTTTCTTCCTCTGACTGAGTATTTGCTTTCTGTAATTTGGAAGGGTTTAAGGTAATTCGAACAAGTCAATGGCTCTTCTATGAAAAGCTAAAGTTTGATTCTGTTCTGAAACAAAACTCTAGAGAAAAAGAGCATGTAGAGATCCTTTCTTGTTTGAGCAAGTTCGTCTTTTCTTTCCTTTGTTACATATGAATCTTTGTCCTGTAGCTTTTTATATTGATATTCAGTTTTACTGTTTTGTTAGTTTGGAATCTGCCAATGTCTCTTTGAGAATTATCCTGATTTGCAACCTTCTCTCTTTTTCCCTTTAAACAGATTTTGGCGATGCGCTATCCGAGGAGACTTGTGTTGGCCGGTTGTCTATCAGCCCTGGTTGTAAGTTTTCGTATGTCCTTTAGAGTATTGGTTTCAGTGACCTCTCTCCCAGATTTGGAAGCTCATGTCTTTGCTAATTCCTAGGTCATGACTATCCTCTCAGCTACTGTTGGATGGGCTGCTCCAAATCTGGTATGACTTTGACTCTTGTAATGCTTTATGCTTGAACTCACTTTGTAGTTCGATATAATAAGCCTTTTCCATGGCATCAACTAGTCTCTTTGGACAAGTTCCCATCATGAAGAAAAGTTTCAATCTTTTAGTAAATACTGATTCAAACCCTTACTCTTGCAGATCTCTCGCAAATGGACCCATCACATAACAACATTGTTGTTCTTTGGTTTCGGCCTATGGTCTTTGTGGGACGGTTTTAAACAAGGAGGAGGGTAATAATTCTTCATCGAGTTTTGAGGATAAAATATCTACATTCAAGAAATTCAGATGTCATTCATTGTTAACATGTTTGTTATCTGATTCTATTTTGTTGGCAGGAGTTCAGAAGAATTGGCCGAAGTCGAAGCAGAACTGGTTTGTTTTTTCTTCCTGCGCTCTCGCTCTTACGTTTAGAGACAAATGCTTTCGTCGTTTGACTTTCTTGTGTTTTCTCACAGGATTCTGATTTGAAGGCTAATGGTAAAACTACAAAAGATAGGAGTAAGGTATTGAACTAAAACACCAAGATCATGTACTGCATGTGGGACTTGCCTTTGCTAAGTTTTCCCAAAATCATATATTGTCATTGTAGATTGAAGATGAAAACAAAAAGCAGAACAGGCCGTTCCTCACACAATTCTTCTCTCCAATTTTTCTCAAGGTAAACAAAAGAGATCCTCTCTGAATTTCCTCTCAAAAGAAGTAGAGTTTTCTTCATTAGTTTCATATTTTTTCTCTCTTCTTGCAGGCATTTTCGATTAATTTCTTTGGTGAATTTGGTGACAAGAGTCAGGTAGCTCTCACTTACTCGATTGATTCGATCTAAAATGCTTTGGTTGCTTACCATATCTCTTTTGTCTAGCTTGCTACAATTGGTTTGGCTGCGGATGAAAATCCACTCGGGGTGGTCCTTGGTGGAGTTGTGTAAGTTTCACTGTGAAACCACTACAATCGTTTTGTGTCTGCATCACGAAATTACATGTTTGATTCAATGTTGCTGACTAGTCTGTTGCCTACACAGGGCACAGCTATTGTGCACCACTGCTGCTGTGATTGGAGGAAAGAGCTTAGCTTCTCAGATATCCGAACGAATTGTAAATCTCTCTCACTATTTCCTTTTTACATTTGAGATGATTAAAGACTCATCAAAAATTAAAACTCTGGTCGTCTAATGTTGTTATTGCAGGTTGCTCTCTCTGGTGGAATGCTTTTCATTATTTTTGGGATCCAATCATTTCTTACTTCTGTTGAGGCCTGATGCTTTTAACAATCTTCTTAATGGTATACATCTGAATCCTGATATTCAGTTTCGGCAACAGTCTAATTTTTTTTTTTTTGAAACGCAGGTTTGTATGGGGAGTGCTGAAGAGTGAAGATGAACGTCACT